AGTCAAGTTCATGCTTGTGAGATGGGTCTATTGACCAATCCAATCTGATATGTTAGGCTAATAAATGCCCAGCCTTCTCTTTTGTTTTTTTGTATACGAGGGCTGGATTCATCCCAGTGGATTGGGCGGAATGGAGGTTGGGCCCCTTTTTTTTCCACTGCTGGCTCGACATGGTGGAAAATTTCAGAACAATTGCCAGCATAGCAAATAATTCATTCTCCATGTATTTTTATGCACAGCACCCATGAGGGAGGAAGGGGAGAAGTTATATGGCCTAAGATTGATAGCTTGCTTTTGGAAGAGGAGCTGGCGGCTGGCACTGCTGCTCAGAGGAGATGCACGCTGCTATGCTAGCGGCTGCTCCACTGCTGGAGCAAGTTGATGTTGTTGCACTAGGGATGATGAAGCTTTGCTGCTGATGTGACTAGGAAGAACCGCCTCTGCTACTGCTGTAGGAGGACGATATGTCAAGAGCTCACTACTGGTGTTATGTTGTTGCTGGTGTGGAGGAGCTGCCGGCATGGAGAGGCTGGGCATTGCCACTGGAGTTCACGTTACTAAGTAGAGAACAGTAGTGCACCTGTCGTTGTGTTTTTGTTTGCTGGACTGAGAAGCTGTAACGTGTAGCTGCTAATGCTGAGACCCCTGTTGGTGTTGCTGCGCTGCTGTGGCTGAGGTCACAGTGCTGTAACCAGTGGAGAGGAGGCTGTGGGGACCTATTCTTGGTTGTGGTTCACAGGTGGAGGACAAGTGTTGAAAAAATGGTGAACCCTAAATGAAAAACGGGACTAGAAGTAGTGGTGGGTGTGGAGCCGTGAGGAAAAGCTGACCAGAGGTGGAAGAGGATAGGAGCTGAGAAATATTATTCATGGTAGTGTTCATCCCCCCCTCTCCAAGCTGCTTGGTTAGAGTTTTGTGGGGTTTTTTATTATAGTTAATGGAATCTCGACTCTTAATAGTGAAGAATAAAATACAGTCATTCATTAGAGCAGAGGATAAAAACTTTTCCTGCTTTGTGCGATTAAGGGAAGACCTAGGTTGTTTTTGCTGGTATAACAATGTTGGGTAGTATTCTTAAGAGAGAATTTAAGAGTTTTTTAGAGCTATTAAAGTTGAAATTTTGATTTAGAGTGAAATATAAATACATAAAATTTGTGTGATATGATGGGGGGAGAAATTAAAGCCGGAAAAAAAAAGCATTTGGTTATCATTTTTTTTTATATTTTACTAGGAAGAAGAAAATGAATAATGAAATTAAACTATTTTTAATTTATTCCTTAAACCTTTGGAATTTTATAATGGAATTCCTAGTTAGCTCTAATTTTTTAGATTCATTGTAATTTCACCCTTGATGTTTTTTGATTGGATCCTCGAATTTTTACGCTTTTTGGTTTTAAAATTCTTTAACTTGACTCTCAATTGGGCTTGAAACTTCTAGTTTCTTGCAATTTTTATTCTTAATTTTATCCAATTAAATTTAAAAAAAATTCAAACTTATTTTTTCACAAATTAAGTCCTTAATAAAATTAATTTGAGTTATTAAACATCTAATTAAGTTTTTTCACTTCATTAATTTTTTAATTGGATCCATGATTAAATTAAATTGGCTTATTAAAAGTCTAATTAAGTCATCAAACTTAATTTTTATACAACTTTATTTAGTAATCATTTCATTTAACCTTAAATCTATATTTTATTTCAATTTTAGGTACTATAAGGTACAATTGGGCTCTCGATTTTGTTCAAAATTTCAGTTTGGTTCCTCCATACATTGAAACACTTTTGAACATGATCTTGGTTGCTAGTCTTTTTTCATTTTCATTTTTTATTTTTTTGTTGTTTTTCATTTTTTTTCAATTTTAAAAGAAAAGGACAATTTGGAGGAAACCCAAATTGGGTTATGACAAGAAGTATAATAAAGTGTTGTTTGGGTTTCAATCAATTTGTTTTCATAATAGTTTCTTATAATTTCTTTTCGTGTCTTCAAAAATATTCATATCTCGTATAAATTCACTTGCTACTACTAGAATTGTCATCATAACTTTTAGTTTTTCTTGTTTTTATATATTTCTTGCTTATTCATTACTCATATTTGGATTGCCCAAGTAGGTTTTTCTTTTTGGTTGTGATGAATTTCATGATGAAAAGCGTAATTGAGTGAGACTCAAGAAAAGTGTAAACATGTGAAAGAACGAGAGCGAGAATAAAATTTTCTTATCACTGGAGTGTTTTGAAGATTTAAAGATGTTAGAAAGATTGAACAAGGGTAATATAGAATTTAAGGATATGATAGAGAGAAGAAAGAGACATGATGATTTAATTAATGTTTCGAGAAATAAGACTGATTGAGATGGAAATAATGTTAGGAGGTGTGATGATTTTGATAAGATAGGTGTTGAGAATTATTAACATAAAGATTCCTTAATTTACAAGGAAAAACAATCATAAGATGTATTTGGAGCGGGAAAAGTGTGTATAATGAAAAATACAATGAAATTACAAGATAAGACTATTGATTTGAGGAGCAACAAGAAAGCATCTTCTATATGGAGTGTCATGTTCATAACAAGAGTTTTAATAATGTTTCTCTACTAATGATTCGATAATGAATCTTCATGCAGAGAAAGGGAATGATACGATCCATATAAAAGTTAAACAATCAAATTTTAATTTTGGTGTAATATTATCTAATATCTAGTTTCACGCTATCAAGCATAAAATGATGCAGAATTGTCTCTTAAATTGCAAATTTGAGATTTGAAGAAAAGTTTGCAACTTAACCTAACAAGATCTTCGCTTTGGATAACTAAAGTTATATATAATTGATCACCCCCACTCAACACCTATAACGAGACACAAATAAGAAGTAAAAATCATAATGCAATTAATCAATTATTTGAAGAGTTTGCAAGTTTAATAAAAAATCTAGTATGAAAATCACTTAATTACACAGAGAAATAAAGCACACAATATGTAACAACTTTATAGAAAATTTCTTAAACTGAAAAATAATATTAACAATGGATTTATACAGTATAAACGCTAACCCAAACTTGATAAATAGACCTTAACACATTAAAATTCCAAAGCAACTAAAATAATAAAATAAAACCTAACCTAGATAAATCATTAAATGCTGCAGGGCCTAAAATAAACTATAAATAGATAATAGCAAAACTAATTAAAACAAGACTAAAATCAAATTTTATAATATGGTGTTAAAATTAAAGCCCAATTTCAAATGAATTGTTCTTCCTTGTATTGCCAAATTAGAATGTCTATGATTTATCGTTAGAAATACATGGATGTCTACTGTCCAATGCAACTAGAATCATATCAAAATTTATTTTTTTTAGCTCTAGTTATGATTAAAACAGTAATGAAAGGTTAAAATTAGCAAATTTAAATTTTCTTATTGTAATCTTTTTTTTGCATGCTCTTTTATAAGTCTTTCTTAAACATGAATCAAATTAATCAGGCTTCTTTATTCTTTGATATCCTCTTGAAGTCTACCTTAGCCCGTATATCTTGAAGAAAGCCATTAATTACCTCTTTGAATCCTTTTACTCCAAGTTTTGTGACTAGACCTAATAGAACCTCTAATTAATTTCTTGGTGTTGAAGTTAGGATTGCATCAATAACTATAAATTAGACAATTTAGTTGGGATGAAATTTACATAGTGTTTCTAGATATATTGTTCTACATGAGGTTAAAATTTTATGTCATTTAGAGTTTAAGAATGAATCACAATATAGGTCAGAAGGTTCTAAGTAGATTTTATTATTTGTTGCTTTTTGACTTGTGAAATTCTTATTTGAAGATGACTCTTTTCCTAATGATACAAGGATGATCAACAACTTATTTTAGAAGTTTTCTAGTTCTAGAAGGATTTTTAATAAACAATAATATAGTTTCTAGATGTGGCAAGAATTTTTTTAATGTTCTAATAAAATCTTTTTTTTTTTATAAAAATTCTTTATTTACCCTAGTTACATAGGAAATGATGACTAATGGCATTTAAAGGTTATAATATTTTAGGATTTTTCATACTTTATAAGAAAACTAAAGGGCAACAAGTATTACAAATATTTTAATGTTTATTTAGGAGAATTAAAGTTAGATTGGGGTTGATTTTTTCAAATACACGGTTTTATGCTAAACAAATATAATTTTCAATTTGAATGTTGATCAAGTTGAAAGTTTACTAGATATTTTGAGAGATCTTTTTTATTTTAGACTAAAATTTCAGATCAATCAAACATTAAAAATACTTGAAATAAGATTTACAAAGTACCATACAAAATTTATATTAGTTTTGTTGTTGATTTATAGTTATTTTATCTATTTTATTTAGAACTCTATTATTATTATTATTATTATTTCAGAATTGTTAAGTTTGTTTTACCTATTTAGCTAGTACCTAGATTTTCTTTGAAGCCATATAATATTCTAAATAAACTTGTATTTTATGGATTTGTTTATTTTGAAGCAATAATATTTTATTTCATGTTACATAATATTTTTCTTTGTTAGGACAAACAATAAATTTAACTTATTAAGCTATAACTATCATCATGATGTCACTATTTGTGTTCATGCTAATCATTTTATTTCAATAATATTAGTGGTTTGGTTAAAGTAATTTCTCTGTCACTTTTCTATCATGACTTTTCATGATTTGTTTTTTTACATGTGGATTATATAACCATATCATTACCGGGTTTGCATTTTGAATGGCTTCAAAATAGAACATCAAAATGCTTTTAGAATCAAAATTTATAATTCCAATAAAAAACAACGTAAACCATAACATAATTAATAACCCTGTGGACAACACCTGCCAGGTTTACGAGTACCCAAACCAACCATTACAAGGTTCCAATAAAAAACAACTTAAACCATAACATAATTAATAACCCTGTAGACAACACCTGCCCAGGTTTACAAGTACCCAAACCAACCATTAAAGGTTTGAGAGAGAATTGGCATTGCCCAATTAAGAAAAGAAATCAGCAGATGGAAGGCACACAAGTAACTTTCCGACTTCCTCCAGCATACTGCTCGGTTATTAGTCAATGAACAATTATTTTCTATTCTCATACAATCGAATTACAACAAAACCAAAATATTTTCAGAAAATCTCATACAGCCAAGCTCGTTTTTTAAATAGGTAAAAATCTCAAGTTGCTCTAAAATTGTAATCAATGCTCACAGCTGCCATTCTCTTGAGCCAATCATGGTCTACCTAACTGTGTGTTTCACAGGAGGAAAGGTCGACATGTTTCACATTGTTACTTTAAATAACAAGGATAAAAATAAAAGCAGAGACGGTATTACAAAGCTCATTTCTTAAATATGAAAAACGAACCTCATGTTCAGAATGCTGACATGATGAATCTATTTGTTCAATGTTGAGGACAAGCAGAAGTTCCAAAATATAGACCCCGTGGACATGAAAGCTACACGAGCTTGAATGGGGACAGCCCTACAAAATTGCAGATATATTGCATAATCATGCCACCAGTTCAAAAAACTATTCACTTACTAAGAAACAATAACTGAAAGTCTGCTGCAGGACCATGTTCTAAGCAGAGGTTTATCATATGAAGTTTAGGAATTTAACACCATCAATTTCACTCCTGATAATCTTGGAAAGTCAGACTCCCCCAAACAATGTCCCTATAGTTGTTAGGCAAAATCATATAATCGGAGTTTCAAAGTTTTCTAACGTGACGGGTGAAGCTATCTTTATAAATACTGACTTACTTTCCCTCATTCACACCATAGTCCTTGGGCAGTCATTAATGAACCTTCATGAGAGGATTTGTGAGATGGAGCATGCCTTTGTAGCAACCTCAATCAAAATCTATTCTAGAAGAATTGTTTCACAGGTTTGGTTCTAAATCTCATAGCGCATAAAAGTAACTGGATCAGAGAGGCTGAGAGAAAACATTATGCTATGTTCATGTAACTAGTAAAAAAATATCCCCAGTCAACTGTTCGGATAAAAACTTAACTTGTTGCAGAATATATAGTCTTACCATATCCATGGTTTGATAAGGGTGACTTTATAAATTTCCTGAGAGCGTTTGGCAGCAAGGTGAATCTTCCTAAACTCACATACTGGATGCTTTCTTGAAAGAGTTTTAAGCCAGAAAAACATACACTTAACAAGTTTTTATTTTATTTTTTAAGAACAGTTTACAAGTTAATTTGAAGTTATAAGCTTTTCTCCCTGATAGGAGCGGAATAAATTAGCAGAGCTTCTACATAAACAAGTCCCTCAACATAAGCATGCAGTGTCTAAAAGCCTTGTGCGTTGGTGAATTTCATCAACTTTAGAAGTGGAACAAAACTTGTGAAATTTAAACCTTGCTTGTTTTAGTGAAAATAAGTTTGACAAAAATGATTTCCATATTTTGACATCTCAGGCTCCATGAGGGAAATAAGTCAGTGGAAGAAATCCCTGTTGATTATAAAGAATTAGCCAAAATAAAAAACTTGGAAAATAAGTATAATTCTACGACATTAATTTTATGAATTTTGCCAGAGAATTTAATGTGCATGCATAAGGTATAAGTGTACAATTGTACTCTGATATACAACATAACACAGCTTTTTTATGGCGTTAAGCAAAACTTTTACCAAAGTTTTAAATCACATTTTTTTTCTCACTAGCAATTATACTCCAATTTAGAAAGGTTTTTGTAGCTATATTAGCATTTGTTTCTCCCAAAAATACAGGTAACAAATGAAAGCACCAAAAAGGAGTAGTTAATTGTGCATTTGAGGAAAAAAAATAAAGGATAAAAAATCAGAGTGCTGTTCTTCATATAATCATCATTGTGCTCAAGGGTTTCAATCCAGGGACTATAAAAGGCACACCAAAAAAGGGCAGAAGATGTACCAAAAATTCAATACACTGACAGGTATCCAGAACCTAAATCCTGCATTGAAACCAGATATCAAATATCAAACCACACAAAAACTTGTTTTCAAATCAATGAAAGTCTGAATTACCATAGAGCAATGTTGGAAGAGCATCTCTTTGATACTTCTCTGGAAGCTGTGAAAGCTTCCCTTGCCATAGATTGTTCCATGCAAAGACAACAGCAATCACAGATGGACCAAGCACTATTTGGTTCAATAAAACCTGAAAAGAAACTAAGAATTTGCATCATATTTTTTAAAGAAGCTACTCTTTGACCTATCAAGTTTATCCTGATTATGATTAGCTAACAGTGATATCCAAAGAAACTAGTACCTTTAGCATCAGATTCTTCACTGTCTGCTTTGGCAAACAACGGTCAAGATATTGGTACCATGCATAAGAACCAGGACCATACAATAGAAACCCATAAGAAGTCATTCGTAAGACACGAAGCCAATCATGATCGGAAAGGAAAATCCCAATAAAATCCTAAACAAGAGCATTTCATCAAAATCCAAACTCAAAACAACTTTAAGCACACTATGTAGATAAGAATAAACATTGAAAAACAACAACATAGGCTTGTCCTAAATGCATCACAAAGGTTGCTGGCCCAGATTAGAAAGCAGTAACATTTGCAAACTTCCAGTACATGAATTGGCAATGGATGAATTTAGTCTCCAGTGATATTTAGAGTAACGCAATATTATGTGTTGGTCAACATAAAGCCATGTTATCTTGCTGTAGGAAACAAGGTTGGACTGTGCAAAGTCTTATTAGAAGAAAGAAAAGTTTAAGAATCAGTACTAATCACATGCATAGAAAACACTGCCAATAAGTTCTATGTTGGGTTTAGAACACAACATCGCAAGCCATGGTATACCCCCTTGGGCAAACCAAACGAGTTTTCAGACAGATGCAGCGAATTTATACCTTCTACATTGCCCTTTTTTTTTTTTTTTCTTGTTCATGTATTTCTTATGGTAAAAATTATTACATTGATTTTGAAACATCTAAACTTACCAAAATAGTTATAGACTTACAACATTAGACTGAATTTATAAGCTAAGCTAATAGCATTGCCATTTTTTCCAAACCAAGTTTAAGGAAAACACAAATCAATTATTCAAATTTACTGCTAAATCAATCAACAAACATAACAACATGTTTAAATTCATTTCCAATACATGGCAAAAAATAATAATAATAATAATAATAATAATAATAATAAATAAATAAATAAATAAAAGAAAACACACACACACACTGACCTGATTGTCATTGGAATTCTGAGAAGCGTCTTGGTCATAGGAGTATCGTTTGGATGGCTTGTTCTTTTTCCAGCGGTCTGTAACTTGAGCTACTGTATCCCCAGTAAGAGCAAGCGCACCTGCGGTCACAGCTTGCTTTAAAGGGAACCAGTAACCTCCTCCTCCTGTTGCTGAATCAGAGGATTTCGATGCTTTACTTTGTTTTATCCTTCTTTCATGTTCCCATTTCCAACCCCAAAACTCTCCATTTCCACCACTCACTGCTTTCATTTGGCTTATCACGGCTCCAGTGGAGTGAAACTGTTGAGGGGCTCTTTTTTCTTTAATAGCCCAATTTGCCCTTCCAATAACTTTACATAAATGCCCTTCATCTTTTTCTCATTTTACACTTGGACGTGTCAAAAGATCAAAATAGTGTGGGCACGCGGAGAATTCTCTTAGTTGTTCTTCTTCCAGCACTACTAGAGAGGACGAGGAGATTGAGAGATCTCTTTTGATTGAACTTTGAAGGTTAATAGAATCTTCTCTTTCTCTCTCTCCCTCTTCATTTTACATTTTTAATTCTTAAATAGGTGGAAACTTGAAGAATACCCAGATGGAATTTTTGTTGTTTTTGGTGTATTTGATCCTTTTGTAGAATAAAAGTTTTGATCTTGTTATATTCCTTGTTGTAAAGATTTCATCTTTTCAATTCCCAATTTGGCTACTTCTATTCCTTGTTTGTTTACATCATTTTGTGTGAAATTAGAATCCTGTACAATGTTATTAATGTTATAATGTGGTTCTCGAGAATTGGTCCGTAAATTGTTCAGTAATATAGTTTGGTGTTCATAGTCGTACCAGGTTGTAATTGTGATATGGGATAATAAACATTCAATGTTATTCATATCATATAACCTAGAGTTGGAAATGTGAATTGGCTAATCATTTAAATCTTAACAATCTCTTCCTTCACTTCAAGGAAGAACATAAGCAACAAGCGGAAAATAAAAGTCTTATCCTGCAAGCCATGAATAATCAGATTGATGATTCGATCAAGAATCAAGTAGCAGCACTTTTGCGAGTTATAAATGTAACTAGATTCTTTAAGGGAGATGATGTTCCATGCCAGATTGAAGAGGTAAGTTAACTTTGATGTATATATTAATTGATGTCTTGATTGGGATTTTAATTGTTTGCCTGAATTTTCCGTAATTTCTTTTGATTTCTCAGGGCCTATTCTTGGGTTCTGTGGGTGCTGCTACTAACAAGGATGCACTTAATAGCAAGAATATTACACACATCTTAACTGTAGCTAATTCATTGCCTCCCTCTTTTCCAAATGATTTTGTATATGAAGTCATTGGAGGTATGTGCCTTCCTACTAACTGGTGTGATAGTATTAGTAATTTCTCTTTCACTGGCATACCTCAAGTGATGATTTCTTTAACAATTTTCTTTTTTCCTTTGTTTTCCTTGCATTTATTTTTCTTTCCCCATTTTTTTCCTCTCTATGGCGCTACAGTCTGCTCTTTGCATCTGATGTATTATCTAGTTGTAGCTGAAGTAATATCTCTGTACTGTAAAAAAGACTACTTGTCAAACCCACAATCTTGTTGTAATCTCTCCTTGCTTTGCATCAGCTTTCCATGTTTAATTCCATGTTTAATTCTCTCTCTCATTCATATGGAGCTTGTGATGGTTTGCACCGCTTCTAGAACTCAAATTGATCAACTCTTTGTGGTGTTTCTTTTGAGGTAGTCGCGGATAGAAATGACACCAATTTAATGCAGTACTTCGACAAGTGTTTCAATTTTATTGATGAAGCCAAGAGGCAGGGAGGTGGTGTTTTGGTCCATTGCTTTGTTGGAAGGTCCCGAAGGTGGTTCATCTTTCCCTGCAGGGGTCACTTGATTTTCAGGAAACATGTTCTCTATCTTCGTAGTGCGATATACTATGCATCTAACATTGACCAATGTTCCCTTGGGAATAACTTTTTAGATGGATTAATTAATAAATAATACATTTGGTTCCTACAACTTGGTTGGTCAATTTTTACCTTGCGGATAGTACATTCATTGAGCCTTTGTACTGTTAAATTGGTGATCATACAATCATGTGACTTAAAAGAATCAATTTCATTTTATAATAATATCTGCATGAAGGCACAGTAGTATGGGATATCTCGCAATTAACTTTACAATTGTTGGTGTCAAAAATATGGAAAAGACTTCAGCAAGTGTTTTAGCGGTAATGACATGTTTCAATACATTGATTGTGATTGGAGAACCATCGGAGGTGTCTAGTGGATGAGCATATTTTCTGTTCCAACATAGGAGATACCCTTTGAATTGTACTCATCATTTTTATGATTGTGTTATTAATTCTTTTAATTTTAGCTATAGCATTTATCACATTAGAAAACTTACATGGATTCACACCTCAAATAATCCCTTTCAAGAATAACTTTGGAAATAAATAAATTTGAAGAAAAGAAAAAATTCATTTTGCTTCTTTAGATGGTTGCAGTTTGAAAGTGGGTTATGCAATACTTCTTATTGGACTGAATTTGTTTCAATGTATGTGTCCTGCTTTTCAGTGTGACTATTGTTGTTGCTTATTTGATGAAAAGGCATGGAATGAGACTATCTGAAGCTTTGGCACATGTGAAGAGTAGAAGGCCTCAGGCTGGACCTAATTCTGGTTTCATCTCACAGCTTCAAGACTTTGAGAAATCTCTTCAAGGTGCATTATCTTTGATACTTCTATATGTATTAACTCGCAAATTGTACCTGATGTGGTTGGTTTTGGTGATCCCCAAAAAAAAAAAATATCATAGCCCTGATTGAAGTTAGATTTTTGCCACTTATCTCATTAATTAAAACTTTTAAATTCAAACCGAAGTTGTCTCCGGGAAATTTTTGGTTGAACAGCTCGTTTCAATTACATAACAATGTGTCAGAATAATATAACTGTTGTCTTTATAGGAAACTTGCAAGATATTTATTCATTCATTCCGTGCTTCATCACCAACAGCTAGGTGCTGCCTTATTTGGCTATAACCTTTTTGCAGTAACATGGATAAGAAAATAAAAAACTACCTCTTAACTATGATACAAGTTTCTTAAAAAGCATTTGTGCTATATATCCGAACCTTCTTCTGGCTGTACAGATAAATTTTAGAATTTCCGATGCCAAAAATTTTCCTGTCACCCAGACTGTGATTTGTCATAAGTGGTTTCTGTTTGAAATAGCTTCTTATGGGCTGATTCATTTTTTTGTACAAAAACTGTTTTTTTTTTTTTTTTTTTTTTTGTGATGTTTGCTAGGTATCTCTTCATAATGTGTCAAAGGAAGACGTGAAGAAGCACGAATGGACGCTTAGAAAATATAAAACTCCGCTGAGGAGGAATATAGCATTTGTGATTAGAAGAAGTAAATAGCTTGGTCATTGCTATTGAAATGGTGAAAATACAAGACTGGCTTTTCTATCTGCTTTTGACAAGGTGATGAATTCACAAGGACCAAGTGTCATGGAACTATTGTCATCTGAATCAGACTCTTATTTTTATTAGAGGAGGGTGCACAGTTCTGAAGTTGATGTTGATGGTTAAATATTGTAAGTATTTTTAAATTGATATGATATTTAGCTGTATGAACGTGATCATTAGTGAGTGCAGGATAAGTACATGGAGGAGAAACCTCAATGAATCATATTTATATTAATTCCATTTGCATTTTCTTGTTATTTTAAGCTAGAGATGGAGTAAATTGGTCTGGCACACCTAGCAGATCAAGCAGTGATGATATCTGTCGCCGATTTGCAGTGCGTTCTCATTATATATTATACTTTAAAATGTGTGGGAAAAAAACTGTGCTGGTGTTGTGTATATATAAAGTATTTGCACGACATTGTAGATGCCAAGAGGGCTATAGGGTTTGTCTTTTCTGTTTTTGATGTCAAAGGCTGCTGGCGCAGCTTGACAGCTATACTTGGGTACTGTTTTTTATAAAAATTTAATTTTTTATTAAAATTTAATTTTTTATATGTTTTGATGGATTAATTTTAAAAATATTTTTTAAAAAATAAAAAAATAATTATTTTAATAAATTTTAATAAGATAAGTACATTTAAAAGTAAATTTAATTATATGCTCAAACATGTACTAATATCATCATGGAGATGTTTTTTCTATTTTTTATTTTAAAAGCTGTGAGGTTTGGATTTGGAATGATACTCAAACTTAAGGCTTAACGTCTAATATTGAGTTTGGCTTAGTAACCAAATTTAATGATACTAAGTCTAACATAGTGATCAGATTTTTTTTAAAAATAAATAAATAAATTAATTATAATTTTTATTTATAATATTTTAGGGTAGTTTAATTTTTTATATAAAAAAATAGAAAACTTTATAAAAAAATATTAGAATATTTAAATGGTAGTTTAATTTTTTTTTATAAAAAATACTGATTGAAATTTTTATTTACGATATTTCAAAGGTAATTTAATTTTTTTTATAAAAAATAAAAAACAAGTATAAAAAAAATTATTAAGGATATTTTAAGGGTAGTTCAAATGTTTTTTTATAAGAAATAAAAAAATTAATAAGCATTTTCGTTTATGATATTTTAAGGTTAGTTTAAATATTTTCTATAAAAAAGTAAATAACATTTTGGTTGAGTATATTTTAAGGATAGTTTAAATGTTTTTTTATATAAGAAATAAAAAATTAAAAAAATATTTAGGATATTTATAAAAAATAAAAAAATTATAAAAAATTATGTTTAAGATATTTCAAGGGAAATTTAATTTGTTTTTTATAAAAAATAAAAAAAATATTTATAAAAAAATACATCAAGAGTAGTTTAAATATTTTTTAATAAAAAATTATAAAAAAATTAATTAGCATTTAGATACTTTAAAGATAGATTAAATATATTTTTTATAAGAAATAGAAACAATTTATCAAAAAAATTACTTATAATACTTCAAGGATAGTTCAAATATTGTTTTATAAAAATAAAAAAATAATTAGTATTTTTGTGGAGGACACTTCAATGGTAGTTTGGATATTTTTTTTTTATAAAAAATATATACAAATATAAAAAAAATTATTTAAGATACTTTAAAAGTAGTTTTAAATAATTTTTTAGACATAAGACTATTAAATCTAGCAAAACTGTTATACCCATGGCTATTGGATTTGGCCGGGTCACTAAATCCAGAGCCATAATTAGGTTTGACAGCCAATTAGCCTTGGCTTAACTTCCAAACTCAAGATTATTGGATCTGGTTTAACCTCTAGAGCTACAATTAAATCTATCTCGACAATCAGATCTAATGTTAAAAATACCTAACATTATTGGATTTGGCTCGACCACCAGACCTAATATTATTGACTCTCTAGAATGGATGCTAGATTCAATGTTATTGAGTCTAATTTAGTTGACAAACCTAAAACACTTTAAATATTCTCTATATTATGTATAATTTTTTTTAATATTTAAAAATATTATTAACCTGTTGCGTAACGTGGATAATAAAAAGATTAATTTACATGCATTTCCAAATGCTGCAAAGCACTGTAAGGAGTTGGTGTCTCGGTGATTGAGTGGTCCAAGTTTTTAGTTACATGGATGCTGCATTCTCAACTTCAAATGTGCATGCAGTCGCAGCAAATGAGAATTGGAATTACATCAACACATGATTATTTTTAAATTTTATTTTTATTTAATTACATGGTAATTGAGATAACTATTCATAAGTATTCTAAAGTTTTAAATTTTTTAAAAATAATTTTTTTTAAAGCATGACATAACTATTATTTGGGTGGCCGAGTTGGTAAAAAGAAATAAAAGCCAAGAGATATACTTTCTATGTGCTATTTAGTTCAAATCCTTTTGTCTACGAATATTGCTAATATTAATGGTCACGGACCATAGGGTACAACTTTTATTTTGCAAGTTTTATTTGGAGTGTATGGATCTAATTCGATGTGTATAAGCTAATTCGTGATACTATATATCAAAAAAAAAAAAGCATGGCATAATTATATGATTTTTTAAATATCATATAATTATTTATTTAAAAATAATTTTATTTTAATATATAAAAAGCTCAACAATTAAAAAAAAAGAAAGAATAAAGGACTAAGTAAATGAAGCCCAAAATGTCCGGGGCTTGAAAGGATGCCATAAATGCTCCTAGCAATTTTTATTCGAGAACAAGATATGGTCCTTTATAATAGTTTTTGTGCCCCTAAACTTCATCATGTTTTAACAAAAAACAAAAAACATCATAATAATCTTTATAACATTATTTTCAACTACCAATACTTTTTAATTAACAAAACAATCAAAATCAATTCAAATCAAAATAAACTTTTAGAATCTCGTTCAACTTTTTTAGATATGATTAATAGGCCAAACTTACATTAAAGTCATCTCTTGAATACATTTTTTTTAACACCAAGATTGGTATTTCTTACGCGTGGAATGGGCGTAACTGTAAGCTTTTGTTTTGATGTCTTTTTCTAGTGTTTCTCTCTCATCTTTCTCAACTACTAGGGATTAACATATATAAAAATAAAGTTGTATGATTGAAATGAAAATTTTGAAAAACTAAAAGGACTCAAATATTGAAAAGACACCTCTTAAATAATACAAAAGAAAAAAAAAGGTTTTTTTTGGCTTTTTAATTTTAGTTCTTATTCTTTTAATTGTAACCTATATTTCAATTTCATAATAACGATCTTTAATTTTATGTACAAATAATCTCTGCTACAATTCATATATAAGAGCATGCACAAAAAAATTTAAAATATTCCAACATACAAAAATAAAATAAAATCATTGAAGTGCATAACATGTTTACTGGACTAAAATGAAAAAACCCTTAAACAATCTCGTGAGAACATTGAAAGTTTGTTGTTTTAGGATTTTTTTTAATTCTAATTCTCATTTTAATTTTATTTTTATGTTTTATTTTTAATACTATAAGAAGCAAAGTCCTTTAAGAGTCAGGAACAATACAAATCTTCCTAAATGAATAAACACAAATATTGTACTAGTTAGTTGATACTATAATACTTGTCTCTATGATAATATATTCATGGCTGGTGCATATATGATTACCAAGATGACATGAAGGCACCAACCACACACACACATGATATACATTTCTCGTCTAACAAATGTTGTTATAAATCTGATATTATTAAAAGATTAATGTCTTCTCCTACATGTAGAAGTGTCGAAATAATAAATAACCCGGTAAAATCGGTGTCGAACCACAAGGAAGTTAATTGTATAAATTATAGATAACAATAATACAACAACAACAACAACAACAATAATAGTAGTAGTAGTAGTAGTAGTAGTAGTAGTAGTAGTAGTAATAATAATAATAAAGAAAAAGAAGGAGAAGAAGAAAATGATGATGAGAACTTTGAGATGGAATATTAATGTAAGGTTAAACAATGATAATAAAAAATATCAAGGTTAGAGGTTCCACTAATGGTATGTCAAACAAGTATAGTATAAACTCTTAATATTCAATTGGAAACCACACACAAAGGAGGTTCCAATCATATTATAAATTGTTAACATGATTATATTAGTTATCTTATTCGATTAATGCTAATACTTGTAAATCTCGTCAGGCATTCATGATTATAACTTATGTTAACAACAAATCAAGTTCCTTTCATAGCTCAGGTGTTGGTTATATCATACAATATGGGCTATGAGTGTGCTAAGTATTTGTTGGACCAAGTGTTATACAACATAAATCTAGATTAGTCATTTAACAAGCAAAGTATCTAGATGTCTTCCAAGTGTAGGAGTGTTGAAGTAATAAATAACCCGGTAAGACCGGGGTCGAACCATAGG